AAGTTCTACTAGCCTGGGCTATGTAGTGAGTTCAAGACGCTGTCTCAAGAAGACAAAACAAAAAACAGGAAATTTAAACTGGAGAGAAAGGGTCAGGGATTTAGCTCAGCGGCACAAGTCCCTACCTGCAAGCACAAGGTCCTAAATTCAATCCCTGGTACCATTTGTAAATAAATAAACAAAATGGAGAGAAATAGTGTTCGGTTATTCTTTAGATGTTGTCAACGTTTGTGTAAACCTTCACTTGCAAATAAAATACACTATGGAAATAGGAAGAAAATATTTAACCACACCCTTAAGTACAATCCTTAGGGATTAAGTCTGGACCACCTTGAAGTCAGGAGTCACCATTCCAATCCCTAGGAAAGAGGCACTGCTCTGTGAGAATGCCTGCTTTCTACATGGCTCGCTTCCCAATTTGTCCCCAATGTAATCAATTTTACCTTAATTTAGGATCTTATTGGCTAACTATAGTTATGTCCCACCTTATATCCATCTGCTTTGTGAGTTCCCAGTCTTCTTCTACCTTGAACTCATGGTTTCACTCTATAGAAGTCCCTGGAAAAGACAGAGTCCAGAGCAGCCCGCTAGGGACCCCCTTCTGTCTCTCTTCAGACAAAAGCTTCCTTTCTCTCAATAAATATATTCTACTCTTCACCTCCATTATTCCTAAAATTCATTCTTTGATTTTAGAGAACATAAACTGGCGGACATAGTAAGTTGGGAGTCTCATTCCCCTATATCAAAGAGAACACAGACACATCAGACTCAAATGCCATGTAATGTCATCCAGTCATCTGGGACATCTTCCCACTCTGAGCCTACTCACAGAAGTACTTCAGGATCACCCTCCTAAGACACAAGAGCAGTGACTCCAGTACATCCTGCTTTTCATTTTTGCACCACTTACCTGGGATGGGTTTCCATTTGCTTTGGAAGAGCTTTTCTTCCTTGACACTCTGATAACCTCACGTGCAGAAATTGTTTATAACATGGCTCCCCAAGTGTAGCATCTGACTGGCTACCAATGCATTCTCAAGCAACTCTGCTGGCAGGGGTGTGGAGGGAGACAGTCCCCCAAAGAGCTAACTATTTAAATAGGGCCTTGCTGGGTATGGTGGCATATTCTTGTAAACCCAGCACTTTCGAGGCTAAAGCAGGCGAATCACTGCAAGTTTGAGGGCAGCCTGGGATACAAAGTGAGCCCAAAGGCAGCCTGAACTGCATAACGAAACTCTGTCTCAAAGAGACAAAAAATAAAGTAAAATGAGGCCTATTCCAAGAGATTGCTCTCAGTCTCAAGGCCTTCTGCTCATTCTTGAGACTCCACCTCATGTCTCACATTGCCTATAAGGAGTTGACCTTGGGCCTGAAAATCATTCTAGAACACGTGGAAGTCGTGGGTACCTTGTGCCAGCCCCAAACAGCTCTCAAATCCAGGACCAGGAAAAGATAAGACAATGGCTGAGGACACATCTACCTGCAAAGTTTACAAAAGGGAACTTCAACCCACAGAAGGCTATCTGCATCTAGGGAAAATAAAAGGAAGGCACAAAGACTGTTTACAGATATGAACTGAAGTTCTCTGATAAAGATGTGTCTATGTTAAGAACCTTGCTGCCTTGGCTAACTAGACACCATGATTGCGGAGAGATGGAATTCTCCAAGTTGATGGCAAGCTATATTAGGCTCCATAATGATGGCAAGCTATATTAGGCTCTATAATAACCAATTAACTTTTGTATATGACCAAACATCCTCATAACTAACAGACTTATTGAAATATATTGTCAAGCTTAGCATACTTCTAGCTTCAACCAACCCTAAGCTAAGAATGTTTATAACATGTGAAGTTGGGCAAGGTGATAAATGACAGTAATCCTAGCTGTGAAGAAGGCTAAGCCACAAAGACTGAAAACTTTGAGGTCAAGTGACACTTACAAAATAAAAGTAAAGGGGGCTGGGGATTTAGCTCAGCGGCATAAGCGCCTGCCTTGCAAGCAGGCAGTCATGAGTTCAATCCCTGGTACCGATAAAAAGGAAAAAAGACAAAAAAATAAAATAAAAGTAAAAAGAACTGGGGATGTAGCTTGTGGTAGTGTATTCCTGGGTTTGATCTCATCTTACAAAAAGCAAACCTCTGGGATGTGTAATAGATTTCCCCACGTTAGTATAGCCTGCCTACATAATAACTTTCTTCTGTTTTCTAACTAGAAAAACTCATGCTTCATTTGGGATAACTTGAATTCATGTTCCCAGGACATGCCATTCATACTGGAATCAAAGTATTTTCTGTTGTCTTCAAGTCAACAGGGGACTATTAGGTTTCTATTGTTTTCCTTTCCCTCATGAGAAATGTTTACAAAAAGGAAACAAATGGTTTAAAACATGACAACTGCTGGGGTTTTTCACTGGAAGGAAAATGACTTAAAATATTGTCTCACCAGGTGTAATGGCACACACCTGTAATCTCAGCACTGAGACAGGCTGAGACAGGAGAATCCCCATTAAATTCAAGGCCAGCCTGAACTACATAGTGAGAATCTGTCTCAAAAAACCAAAAGGAGTGCTGGAGTGCTGGGGATTTAGCTCAGCCACAAAAACGCCTGCCTTGCAAGCGTGCGGTCCTGAGTTCAATCCCTGGTACCACCAAAAAAAAAAAAAAAACACCAAAAGGAAAAAACAAAGTGTTTGTTTGAAATTTGTTGACAATATCCTGGAGAGGGGAGTTGGCATTTTAGAATGCAAAACAGAAGTGAAACGTTATCTATGGGCATTTAGGTTGTTTCCAAGATCCATAAAGAAAGATAAACTGGAGACCTTTATATGTAAATTGATGCAACTTGAGAACATACTCATCAGTGAAATAAGTAAGATCCTCATGTAAACATCGTATTGTCTCATTAATGTGAGAAGCTGAAAGAAACAACGTATGTGTACGTATATAAAAAATAGTTAAGACAGTTATACTACTGATTTCTCTGAGTTCACTAAAGACAAAGATTTGTGCTGGTATTGTTCAGACAATTCAATGCAAGTGTCTTGTGCTCTGGGTGAATGATTTGGAGATGACAACAATTGTATGTACCATTGCTGCCCCATGATCGACACGTTTTGAAATTTTGTTTTAGTTTTTTTTTTTTCTCCTTGAAATAAAATGGATTTGCAGGGAAAAAACAAGTGAAACATTAGAGATTTACCTACAGCCCCAGATGGAGCTAGGGTACTGCTTGCTTACATTTGGAAGACTTGAGAAAAAGAAGACATTTCTATACATATAAGCCCCATACTGGATTCCAGACTCCCTAATGAACTTCTTGCCCTCATGGCACACTCTGGGGGATGTAAGGTGAAAGAGCACAGGGCTTCTGGGTGAGGAAGGAAGGGGTTAAAGGGTAACCCTGGCTACTCTAGCAAGCTTTCACAGGAGTAGAGAAGCAAACACCAGCCACAAAGACAGATGGCAGCAACAACCAACTGTGTACTTTCCCAGAACCAGTGCCCACCAAGATGTTCCTGGTTTTCACAACTCCACCCAAAATGTACCTCCCTGGCTGCTGTTCTGGCCCTCACACCCATGTCCCCCACCCCAGCTGTGGTTTAATGCATATAAGCCCCTGACTCCTTTCCTTTTAGGCCAGTCTCCACTCGCAAGAGGATCCTTGCACCAAATAAACTTTCTCTTCATGGCAGTGTGTCCATCATCCCTCAAGTGAGTTACGGTCACATTTACCTTTCATAAGTAACTCCCCAGAGAAGGCTCCAGGCCTAGTCACCTCCTAGGGCCTGGTAGGTCACTGGAGATCTGCTGTTACAGGTCCAGAGAGGTCTTACCCAGGTTCTCAATGTCTAAACAAAGAACTGAGCAACGGGGAAGAGCAGCAAGACCAAAGATTTTTTTTTTGTACTGGGGATCGAACTCAAGACCTAGTGCTTGCCAGGCAGGCACTTATGCCACTGAGTTAAATCCCTAGCCCAAGACCAAAAATTTTAAAGAAAAAAGAAATAAAGGTGCACTCCACAGAGTGGGAGGGGGCCAGTGACAAGAGCTCATTGCCTAGTGTGTGCTGAGGGATCCAAGCATTAAGTCTGGGGTGGGTTTGAGATTTTATTTCTGCCAAACAGCAGCCTGCCTACGCCTCTCATCCAATGGACAAGCTCATGACCTTTAGGGCACTGAAGAAACTGCCAAGGATTCCATCGCCCAGCACTAGCATAGTCAATGACATGGTCACTTCCGCACGGCTGGTGAGGAACCTGAGGCAAGCCCAGAGGCTGCCTACGTGTCGCTAAGTTACCTGGTTACTTTCTCCTACTGTGTCCCGTAAGCAGGAGTTTAGACAGGATCCCAGAGAGAGGGGCAAGGGCCATAGAACTAGCCTGCTGCGTTCTGAGTTGTGACACACCACAGCAGTTCAGAAAAGGACCTACGCTGAGAGACACTACAGACTAAGCAGCGCTCCAGGAGCGTGCAGTGGGTGTGACCCGCCGGCCTTAGGGAATTCCTAGGCTTGAAGTCCGTCAATCTGACTAAAAGCTGATGCATGATGGGAGGAAGGCACATGCACAACCCTACAGTGAAGGCCAACTCGGGGCGCTTAATGACTGCAGACAAGGAATGGTGTAGCACTCTAAAAGGGAAGTTACATGAAAATAGAAGCAACCAGGACAAAGTAATACGGGGTCGCTCACGCACTCTTAGCGACCCAGTCTGCCTACAGGTCGTATCTTACTTTTACGATGAACTGTTTGGCTTCCCAAAATCAATGCAGTGCCGGCGCGTGGTCCCTCACTGGTTCGAAGGAGTGAGGTGGGCCGAGTGACACCCGAAATGGCAAGATCCGGAGATGTGTGGAGCTGCTGGAGTGTGAAAAACTGAGCGAGGAGCGCCCCCGCCCGGGTAAGGCTGACCTGAAGACGTGGATCCGGTCCCAGAAAGCAGCTGGCCCAGCCCTCCAGCGGGGAATGGTACCCCCAGGTGCTGACCGCCACATACTCACCATCGCCGGCGTCCGCGGCGCCGGCATGTGACAAAGCGACAGAGGATAACACACCACTCACTACTAGGCCGCACACCAGGAGGAGCTGAAGCGTGCGGATCTGAAGATTAAAACCCAGCGTGGCACCGGAAGCCCGCCCTCCGGAGCCTGATCCGGGTCTGATTGGACGGTGCTGCAGAGCCCGCGATGGACAGGCCCGGGCCACGCCCCCACGCTGAGGGGCTGCGTTGAGTCCTCAAGCCTGCGCCTGAGGCTAGGACCGGTGCCGACGGAATGTCTCCACACTCCGTGCGCTGGTGGCTCTCGGAGGGCGGGTTTAGGCGCGGAACAGTCAGCACGGTGCAGGTTAGCGAGGCAGTCTCTGAAGCGACACCGTGCTCCACCGAACGCCAGTGAAGACACGCGGGTCAAGGAAGCCGCCTGCCGCCGGCCTGGCCGAGTGGCATACAGTTTTAGCCGGATGGTAGGCGCTGTGCGCCTGGGCAGTGTGCCGGTGCATTCCGCGCATGCGTGCCGCCCTGGCTTAGTAGCTCCCTGGTGGCTGTAGCTTAAAATTCCCTGGAGCGCTGTGCCGTTTGTGTCTTGTGAATGCTTGAGAAGCGCCTTCCGCGACTGGATGACCGCGAGCTCACGGTCTGCTGCCCGCACCAAGCGCGTCCTCAAGCCTTATGGGCCCCAGCTCACACGCTGCCCTTTTAACCCCAGGCGCTCCAGTGCCGCAGCCCCACTGTGTCCTGCCCAGGACCCTGGCGGTCCCCGAAGGACAGATAAGGAACCCAAGGCCCTGGACTGAGGCTGTCATGTTTTGTTACCCAATTTGGTTCCTAATTTCTTATTCTTTTTACAGCAGGACTCTCAATAGTATTTCCTTTTTTTTAATTTTATTTTATTTTATTTAAGATGAAAAAGAGAAAAACACAAAACAAAACAAAGCGGTGTAAGGGTACACGTAATACAGAACTACAAAAAAAAAAAAAAAGCATAACAGTAAGAATTCACCTGTTAATAGATTACATATTATCACCTTGAAAATAGTTGCTCAAATCACAGTATCAAAGAATACAAAGTGGACATTCAAACAGGGAGACTGCAAACAGCTGTGTTCAATGATCCAAAAACATTAATATAGTCAGCTATTTAACACCCCTAAACACACTTGCTATTATATCCATTAGAGCTCTTTTTTTTTCCCCTCGCTTTTTTACAACAAAATTTACACATTTTGGATTTTATTACTCCTTAGTTCTTATTACTTTTGGGGGGGGGAGAGAATACAGTCAAATATGGCAAAACAAAGCTGTCAGTCAAAACCAATGATAGACATAGCACATGGTGTAGAACAGAGTACAAGGTTATCAACAATGGTTATCAACGTTGTCTCTTGTTTCCTTAAAAAGAATTGTCTATCTCATTAGATATTATAAAGTTGGACAAAACAGTAGAGAACAAGACCAATAAAACTTAGGCATTGTAAACATTACAGGACTTCCAAAGGAGACAATAGTCAAACCAGAATGGGCATCTTAGTGAATCTTATTGCCTTCAAAGTAGTTGCCTATACCCTCAAACTTGATACTATCATACAGAATGGAACAGAGTCTAATCAGTCAAAATAAGATCGTGGGAGTATTACAGGACTTCAAAACAAGTTAATAGGAAATCAAAAAGAGTTACTATTATATATCCTAATTTTTTAAATTTTTCCCCTTAATTAAAACAAACATAAGAAATAACTAAATAATTTTTTTAAAGAATAAGGGGGAGATTGAGATAAAACAGGACATAACAATATAACAATAGAGGTCAAAGCATGACTGTTTCAGCAACCAAATAACCCGACTTAATAGTAGTTACCATAGTGTCTGTCTTTTTCCTTGAAATATTTGGATAAAACTTCAAATACTATAGCTTCAAATATTTCCATATCAAGAAGCCCAGAATAAAGCCTTTCTAATTAATGAGTGAAAACTTTATAAGGCTTCAAGGCCACATAATGGGGAATCATGATTACCACATATTTTTATATATTTGAATCATTACTTACATTAGGGAAACTATTCGGTATTCACACATGCGAGATTGATTTATTTCACTTATGAGTATGGTCTCAAGCTGTGCCCATTTATTGATAAATATCTCAATGCGGTCCTTCTTTATAGCTGAATAATACTCCATTGTATAGAAATACCACAACTTTTTTATCCATTCCTCAGTTGATGGACACTTGGGTTGTTTCCAAGATCTGGCGATTACAAATTGTGCTGCTATAAACATAGGTGCACATATATCACTGTGGTATGATGCTTTCAGTTCTTCTGGGACTATGCCTAGAAGTGCAATAGCTGGAATAAATGGGATTTCCAATCCCAACTTTTTAAGAAATCTCCAGACAGACCTCCACAAAGGCTGTACCAGTCTACACTCCCACCAACAGTGCAGGAGAGTTCCCTTTTCCCCACAGCCTCTCCAGCATTTGTTGTTGGTTTTCTTGATCCTGGCCATTCTTTCAGGAGTGAGATGGTATCTCGGTGGGGTTTTAATTTGCATTTCTCTAATGACCAATGATGATGAGCATTTTTTCACGTATTTATTTGCCATTTGCATTTCTTCATCTGAGAATTGCATATTCATCTCAGATGCCCATTTTTGGATTGGATCTTTGGATTTTGGAGGTCTGAGTTTTTTTAATTCTTTATATGTTTTAGACAAGAGTCCCTTGTCAGAGAGAGTTCACTAAAATCTTTTCCCAGTTTGTGGGTTTTCTTTTCACTATGCTGGAGATTTCTTTTGACATGCAGAAACTTTTTAATAAGAAGTGGTCCCAGTTATTGATTCTGGGAAGTATTTTCTGTGCGGTTTGAGTCCTGTTCATGAATTCTTTACCTACTCCTATGTCTCCAAGGTTTCTACCCAATTTCTCTTCCAATAGATTTAGTGTTTCTGTTTTAATATTCAGATCTTTGACCCATTTAGATTTTAATTTAGTACATGGTGATAGACATGGGTCTAGCTTTAGTTTTCGGCAAATGGAGAGCCAGTTTTTCCAGCACCATTTATTAAAGAGACTGTCGTTCTTCCAGTGAAACTGCTTGGATCCTTTATCAAAGATAAGGTGGTTGAGTGTGTTTGTAGTTGTGGTTGTATCTTCTAATCTATTCCATTGATCTTCAGTTCTGTTTTGATACCAATACCATGTTGATTTTACTACTGTTGCTTTGTAGTATAACTTCAAGTCAGGGATTGTGATGCCTCCTGCTTTGTCTTTGCTGCTTAGAATTGCCTTTGCGATTCTAGGTCTCTTCTGGTTCCAGATGAAATTTAGGAGTGATTTCTCTAGATCTATAAGGTATGTGGATGGTATTTCTATTGGGATTGCTTTGAATCTGTATAACAGTTTTGGGAGAATGGCCATCTTCAAAATGTTTGTTCTTCCTATCCATGAGCAAGGGATGTCTTTCCATTTTCTGAGATCATCTTCAATTTCCTTTTTCAGTGTATTATAATTTTCACTGTATAAGTCTTTCACTTCTTTCATAAGAGTAATTCCTAAATATTTCATTTTTTTTGCTTGCTAATGTGAATAGTCCAGTTTCTCTTATTTCCCTCTCTGTGATTTTGTTGTTCGTGTATAGGAATGCTATTGATTTCTGAGTATTGATTTTGTATCCAGCCACATTACTGAATTTATTTATTGTATCTAAGAGTCTTTCAATGGAGTTTAGGGGTCTTCTATGTAGAGTATCATGTCATCTGCAAACAATGATAATTTAACTTCTTCTTTTCCTATCTTTACCCCTTTTATTTCTCTTTCTTGCCTAATTGCTCTGGCTAGTACTTCCAGTACTATATTAAATAGGAGTGGTGATAAAGGACATCCGTGTCTTGTGCCCGATTTTAAAGTAAAGGCTTTCAATTTTTGGCCATTTAGTATGATGCTGGCTGTTGGTTTGCCATAAATGGCCTTTATTATATTGAGGTAAAGACCATTTATTCCAATTTTCTGTAGAGTTTTTATCATGAATAAATGTTGGACCTTATCAAAGGCTTTTTCTGCATCTATAGAAATGATCATGTGATTCTTATTTTTGGCTTTATTGATATGGTGGATTACATTTATTGATTTGCGTATGTTGAACCATCCTTGCATTCCTGGGATGAATCCCACTTGGTCATGGTGTATAATCTTCTTGATGATTTGCTGCATCCTATTTGCCAATATTTTATTGAGGATTTTTGCATCTGTGTTCATTAGGGAGATCGGTCTATAGTTCTCTTTTTTAGTTGGGTCTTTCTCAGGTTTTGGTACTAGAGTAATATTTGCTTCCAGGAATGACTTAGGAGGGATTGCTTCCCTTTCAATTTCATTGAATAGTTTGAGAAGTGTCGGCATTAGGTCTTCTTTGTATTTCTTGTAGATTTCTGCAGTGAATCCATCTGGGCCTGGGCTCTTCTTGGTGGGTAAGGACTTAATTACATTTTCAATTTCATTAACAGAGATTGGGTTATTCAACAGTTTTACATCCTCTTGATCTAGCTTTGGTACTTCATATGCTTCTAAGAATCTGTCTATTTCTTCTGTGCTATCAAACTTTTGAGAGTAGAGGTTTTCAAAATAGGTGTTGATGATCTTCTGTATTTCTATTGGGTCTGTAGTGATTTCTCCTTTTTCATTTCTTATTGCATGAATTTGACCTTTTTCTTCCCTTTTTTTAATAAGGTTGGCTAGGGGCTTATCGATTTTATTTATTCTTTCAAAGAACCAACTCTTTGATTCGTTGATTCTTTGGATTGTTTTCTTAGTCTCTATTGCATTGATTTCTGCTCTGATTTTTATAATTTCCTCTCTTCTTTTGGCTTTGGGCTTGACTTGCTCTTCTTTTTCTAGCTGTTTGAGGTGTAGCATCAAGTTATTTATTTGTATTCGTTCTGTTTTCCTGATGTGGGAACTCAGTGCAATAGATTTTCCTCTCAGGACGGCTTTCATTGCATCCCACAGATTCCGGTAAGTTGTATCTGCATTTTCATTTTCTTTTAGGTATTGTTTAATTTCTTCTTCAATTTCTTCTGTGACCCACTGATTACTCAAGAGTGTGTTATTCAGTTTCCATGTGTTTGCAGGATTTTTGCAGTATCTTTTATCATTAATTTCTAATTTCAGAGCGCTATGATCCGATAACATGCAAGGGATGATTTCAACTCTTTTGCATTTGTTTAAATATGTTCTGTGAGCTAATATATGGTCTATTTTAGAAAATGATCCATGTACTGCTGAGAAGAATGTGTATTCTGATGTTTTTGGGTGGAACATTCTGTATATGTCTATCAAACCCATTTGTTCACAGGTGTGATTCAGTTCTGTTATTTCTTTGCTCATTTTCTGTCTGGTTGATCTGTCCCTTGGTGTCAATGGCATATTAAGGTCTCCTGTTACAATTGTGTTACTGATAA